CATCCAGGTTTAGCCCGTGAGCCGACATGGTTTGCCGGGGTGTGGCCGCTGTGCGCACCACAGCTACTTGGAGCCACTGGAGAGAGTTTATGTGCTAACAGCAGGTATGATACATCTCTGCCACCTCTATAGAGGTCGGCTGGCAGAGATTGGCGCTATTAACACACTACACACCGGCCGCTAGTACCGAATATACAGTCTTTTTTACAAATACAAAATTTTGGAATATTTTTTGTAACAGTTTTATTGGTAACTGTACTTAGAATGTAAACAAAGGCAGAGGTGCAAATGATGTATGCTAGCAAAATCTTGTTAGTGTGCACATTTGTACAAATTATAAAGTCATGTTCAGTTTTTTAATCAAAGTCGAAAACTATAAAGCTAAGCTGCTTAATTTTACAACCACATTTTTTTTTAATTCGCCTATCTGAATGGTGGAGTGACAACATTACTTCTTATTCAAATAGGAGACATATTCCAGTCCATGACATGGTCCAGTTGGCCTTTGGAACATCTTTTTATTTTAACATATTATTATTGTTATCTTTTAACCAACCATAAAATGTGAAAAATACATGCAAACTGTTACCCAAAACAATGTAGTTGTCATTTTAAATGCAGCGGCGGAAGTGATAGCGTGACGTCACGTGGAGCGCACCGCGCATGCGCACGCCACCGGAACCGGAAGCTGCGGTGTTGCGGCGCAATCTGGAGTCGGACCGCACTGAATCAAGTGCAGCCTTCCCTCTCTGTTTTATGTACGATTCTGTGAAAGATAAATGAGCGCGATTCCGAATGGCTGAACGCTAACACGTTACAAGGATTATTTAGGGTGTTTGTAAGGGTCTGATTCATTTTTTATTAGATTAATGAGTGGACTGAAGAAATAAAAGAAATGATGCGTGTTTGGTGACTTATATTGATCATTATTAGATTGCAACTTGATTACTTAACGACCTTTGTTAAGATTTTCTTTCTTATGTAAATTACAAATAGATTTTCAAGGTACAAAAGATTCTAAACTTACTCGTAGGAGTAATCTCTAGAGGTTATTGAATGTCAAATGTGTATAATAAATTAATTAACCTAAAAGTCTTACCTTGTAACAAAAGATGATAAAATATTTTTGTTCAAAATAACCGTGTTAAGGTAAAAGGAGCTTTATATAACTAAAAATAGTCAACCATCCAATAGAATCGAAGGAGTTTTAAAAAGAGTTCATATAAAAAATATATTTCATTTTTGTATTCGATTTTCCTCTTGTAAGAAACATAAAGAAAAAAAAACTACTGTAAAAATATATCTCACTTATTTTGTAAATTTTAAACTTTGTACATAAACGTGTGTAAAGTATGGAGCCTACAAGTTTGCTCGTATACATTGGCGAGAAGCTACCAGCACTCTCTAAAATATACAAAATGTACATTAATTTGTCTGCATTTTTTAAATTGTATTATTACCTTATAAAAACCAAACTCCGGTAATTACGGCTGGAGATTAAAAAAAAACTCTTATTCTGTGCAAAACAAATATCATTACATCAAACTTGTGATTATTATTACCTACACTAACATTTTCCCACACAACTCACCATATAAATCAAACCGTCTTATGGCAGGCAGCGCGGTTAATTCAACAAGCTGGGAGCAACAGAACTAAAACCATAAAACATTTGTAATTAAAACAACGGCGCCTTACAAAGAATCGGAACACCTTCCACGCGGGCTTACTGTTGCTTGTTACAGATGTAAAGACCTGGAAGAGACTAGTCTAAATAGGCGAGGACTAAAAACAATTACCAAAAATTCTTTCTAGCTGCTGCTAGGGACTTCCTTAATTCAATGTCAAATACTATTGATGTCAGACAATATACGCATTTTGAATTTTTACCATGCATTACTGGCGGCTGAAGGGACAGCAAAGTTCTAAAATGAAGGCCATGTACCGGCAACGATAGGCGTCCACGCACAAGGTAGATGGATGACCATATTATACAGGTTGCAGGAAGGTACTGGATACAGACTGCTATCAGGCCAGCCTATCTGGAAATTATTGAATGAGGCCTTTGTTCAGCAGTGGAAGTTCTGTGACTCATAATATTGATGATGATGATGATTTATTTATTTATTTATTTCGGTAAAAAAANAAAAAATTGTAAGCCTTTTTTCCTTTGCTCAGGAATGGAACACTGCACCGTCAACAAATTGATCAAAAATTCATCTTCTATATTAAATCTGTAGAGAGGTCAATTCTTTACATGAAATATATCTTCAAAATAACTATCAGGGGGTGATTAGTGATCGATACTGTTGCCAAAAATGCAATCAGTAAAATTTTTGTCTGTCTGTCTGTCTGTCTGTCTGTCCGTCTGTATGTTCCTTATAGAAACAAAAACTACTCGACGGATTTTAACGAAACTTGGTACAATTATTCTTCATACTCCTGGGCAGGTTATAGTATACTTAGGAGTTCCCAAAGGAACAGGAATTAGCGGGAAAATCCTTTTGTATGAAAAATCTAAACCGCTTAAGTTAGACGCTTGAAATTTGGCATGTAGGTAGATACCTTAATAAACTTAAAGCTTACTTACAACAAGGAATTCCCGAAACTCCCACGGGAACGGGAATTAGCGGGAAAATCCTTTTGTATGAAAAATCTAAACCGCGTAAGATAGATGAAGGGGGTAAAATGGGATCCACGCGTACGAAGTCGCGGGCGGCCGCTAGTACCGAATATACAGTCTTTTTTACAAATACAAAATTTTGGAATATTTTTTGTAACAGTTTTAGTGGTAACTGTACTTAGAATGTAAACAAAGGCAGAGGTGCAAATGATGTAAGCTAGCAAAATCTTGTTAGTGTGCACATTTGTACAAATTATAAAGTCATGTTCAGTTTTTTTAATCAAAGTCGAAAACTTTAAAGCTAAGCTGCTTAATTTTACAACCACATGTTTTTTTAATTCGCCTATCTGAATGGTGGAGTGACAACATTACCTCCTATTCAAATAGGAAACACATTAATAGGGTCCAGTTGGCCTTTGGAACATCTTTTTATTTGAACATATTATTATTGTTATCTTTTAACTAACCATAAAATGTGAAAAATACACGCAAACTGTTACCCAAAACAATGTAGTTGTCATTTTAAATGCAGCGGCGGAAGTGATAGCGTGACGTCACGTGGAACCAGCGCACTGCGCATGCGCCACCGGAACCGGAAGCTGCGGTGTTGCGGCGCAATCTGGAGTCGGACCGCACTGAATCAAGTGCAGCCTTCCCTCTCTGTTTTATGTACGATTCTGTGAAAGATAAATGAGCGCGATTCCGAATGGCTGAACGCTAACACGTTACAAGGATTATTTAAGGTGTTTGTAAGGGTCTGATTCATTTTTTATTAGATTAATGAGTGGACTGAAGAAGTAACGGAATGATGCGTGTTTGGTGACTTATATTGATCATTAATAGATTACGAATTGATTACCTGACGACCTTTGTTAAGAGTTTATTTCTAATATAAATCTATAATCTATCTACTATATAAATAAAAATGAATTGATGTTCGTTAGTTTGTTTAAAACTCGAGAACGGCTGGGCCGATTGAGCTGATTTTGGTTTTAAAATGTTTGTCGTAGTCCAGGGTAGGTCTAAACGGTGAGCAAAAAAGGAAAAATTGCGATGGCTTTATTGCCTTTAAGGCGGAACAGAGTTCGCCGGGTCAGCTAGTTACAAATAGATTTTCAAGGTAAGTACATAAGACTCTAAACTTACTCGTTGGAGTAAATCCCCAGAGGTTATTAAATGTCAAATGTGTATAATAAATTAATTAACCTAAAAGTCTTACCTTGTAACAAAAGAAGGTAAAAATGATTTGTTAAAATAACAGTGTTTAGGTAGTAGAAGCTTTAAATAACAAAAAAGTAAAACCATCCAATAGAGTCGAAGGAGTATTAAAAAGTGTTCATCTAAAAAAATTGCATTTTTGTATTCGATTTTCCTTCTGTCCTGTGCAAAACAAATATTATTATATCAAACTTGTGATTATTATTACTCACACTAACATTTTCCCATACAACTCACCATATAAATCAAACCGTCTTATGGCAGGCAGCGCGGTTAATTCAACAAGCTGGGAGCAACAGAACTAAAACCATAAAACATTTGTAATTAAAACAACGGCGCCTTACAAAGAATCGGAACACCTTCCACGCGGGCTTACTGTTGCTTGTTACAGATGTAAAGACCTGGAAGAGACTAGTAAAAAGTTGAGGACTAAAAACAATTGCAAAAAATGCTTTCTAGCTGCTTCTAGAAACTTCTTGCAGGCAGTGTACGAGGAACGAAGGACGTCCACCTTAAGGTGGACATGTTATGGCCGTATGCAGCTTGTAAATTATAAATAACTAACTTGAAAAAATCGAACTGCCTAAGGCGGGAATCGAACCCACACGAACTTTCGTTTACCGGGCGACTGCACTTCTATCTGAGCTACTTAGACACTGGATGAACCTGTCGAAATTTTCAAATGTAATACGCTGTTACGGCCAGCGTTTGTTTCATCAATGTTGGGTATGCCTACCTTATACAGCTTTCAGGAAGGTGCTAAAATCGGACCACTATCTGGCCGGCCTATCTGGAAATTATTTGGCGAGGCCTCTGTCTCTTCAGCAGTGGACGTCCGAATGAATGACGCATCTTGAAAATATGACAAAAAACTTAACAGATCCAAGTAATGTTGCTATTTGTAATGTGTATCCTCTTAGTCATAGATAAAAAGAAACAAAAGTAGTTTAGGTATTTTTTTCAGAGCAGGCAAGTTGAAAAAAAAAGACTGTGGCATGTATGTCTCTTCTAAAAATATAAGATCTTCGTTTCGTTTGTATGTAGCGCGCCGCGCGAGTCCTGCGGGACATATGTTGGAACTTCCACTAGAAAAGTTTCGAGCGAAGTGTAAAGTCTTGTTCCGTGTGTAAAATGCGCGCCGTCTCGATTATGTGAAAGCATTATTTGATAATTAGGATCCACGGTGTACATGAATTTACTGGGTGTAGAAAAAAAAGTGTCAAGCGAAATTACGGTTGCAGAGAACGCTGAGAAGTACCTGAATCAGACTCGACAAGGTAAGTTGTACTGTATTTTACAGTAAAAATATTTTGAACTAAACTTTTTTCACTGCTTTCAAAAGTGACTTGAGTGGGAACTTGGTGCTCTTTTTCGGAAAGGTTGCGAGGTAATAACAAAACTCGTAACATGTTTATTAACTTAGCAAATGAATCTTAAGTTCAGGGAAACATTTTTTTCGACCATATTAACATGACTCTATTACATAATTAAATAAAAGTAGGGTAACCCACTTTCAACTTTGACCAAACATGTTAGTAAATCAAATTAATAAAAAGTTACATTACTTAAAGAATATTTATGTTAGCGACATGTTTGTGTGTTTTTCTTTGGAATTTTCGATGTGAACTTGTAACAGTCTTATAATGTTTATCTTCAAACTTGTGAAGCGAATTGAACGCGCGCCTAATTAATATTTAATTTAAAGTTAACATACTTAAACAGATTAGACACCTACTACTAAGAACATTGTGTAAGTTATTATTAATCATCTTATGTGAAACACAAACCGTTTCAGCTAATTTTGTAAGGAAACTTTATAGATTGAAGTTAAAGTTGAAGTGTTGATTCGGTAGGAAAACATTCAGAGCTAGTTGTTTGATTCGTGGTTAACTGAACTAATAATATACCTAAGAATTTTATTACTAGTGGCTAAATATAGTCAAAATATAAATTAAAATGCTTAAAAGTTGTGTGTAGTAAAAGTAAAGTTAAGATGTCCCGATAGGTGGCGGTAACATGCTTTTGTTGATTTATTTATAACCACTTGGTAAAGGCAAATTGGTTGAGTTCACTATGGATAAAAAACCTGGGATATAATTATGTAATTAAAATAAGTATAACATTGAGAATGACAAAATGCACGACATCCATGCTTCTTCTAAAACGACGCTGTCAAAGACCTGTTTGGGTCCTCGGGTACTCCGTAGAATGCCAGCGTAAAGTTCGCAGGCTACACTCATTTAATTAAAGGAATGACTAGATTAGTTGTCTGTTTATACGTATCTATGTCTAATAGTATTTACATAAAGTCACCACTCTTTAAAATATAATATGACTCTACATTTCGAAATCGTTTCTCAACGCTAAAGCGAAGGTTGAACGATTTAATCACAACTGTTTCGATAATTAAGGTTTTAAGTCTACAGTGTGCTTACCATGAGTTTACGTTAGGTGTGTGTCGCTAGCGACTGCGTAAAAAAATTACATTAAAATGTATGACATCTTGCGAAGCGAAATACAATTTTCATAGACTTTTCTGACATACTCGCTAACGACCAAACCTAACGTAAACTCACGGTAAGCACACAGGTTAAACGGTCTCGAATCGAAAATTAATTTGAGTACAACCATTGAGCAAAAGCAGACCTATAAATTATTACCTAGGATTATGTTTAGGCATAAAGCATTAGGAAGGATTAAGTATAGATAGTGTATAGTAGATACAGCTGCTTAGATATGGCTTACCTACTATGTTTGTTATGTATACGGCTATTGATGGTTACAATTTGAAAAACTTGTTAAAACAACACATATAAAAACTTTAATATCGAAAACTCAAAATTAAGGTGGTGCAATCCCGTCAGTAATAATAATTATAAAAACTTATTAATATTATGCAGTTGCAGAAATCTACAAACGAAAGTAGCAGTCAAATACTTGTACTATTATGTGACTTTGCATCTTACAAATTCTGTACAAACATTTTGTACTGCATTTTCTATTTATACGCGTACAAACGTATTACTGCGAGCGAAATAAGTAGGAAATGTTAAACACAAGACTCCGACGAGTCGAGCGATTGTAATGTTTTAATTAAGACCAACGTTCACATTTAAATGTTACTTGAACAGTGTGTGCTCCAACCAACATCCTCCCGCCATAAAACGGGTTGTAAAAATTTAATCAAATTTAGGGACTGCTTGTCAGTTCGCTGTGACATGCACAGATTTGATAAAGCTCTCCTGAGTGACATTGTATCTCAATTATTATTTTGAACAGGATTTGGGCTGGTGTGCAGTTAAAGCCGCTTATTTTTACATTTTCTTCGTGGTTAGAAATTTAATGTTTGTCTACAATTTAAGATTATTTTACTTTACAGATAGTTTTTCTGGTAGAGTAAGTAGAGACAAAAGGGTTAATATTTTTATACAGAGACAAAATTTTTTGTATTAAGACCTAAAACCATCTAAATCTATGTCTAAAAGTTTTTTACTGTTTGATCATAGAGATATTTGACGCCTTGATTTTGACGCAATATATCATCAACCGCTGCCAAAATATTGATTGTTGTATTCGAATTTTTCTATGAATTAAATAAAATAATGTACAGAATATTGAAATCCACTATCATACAGCACCTTCCAACGATTATCAAGCGTAAATTATACACAAGTTACACGTTATGTAACAAGAAATGTAACGTGCAGGTAAATGATCCGGTCCGTTTGAAGCCAATAGAGACGAAAGCCTACACTTTGAGGAAGCATAACAATCCAAGACGGCAAAAGCTGTACGAGTTTGGGTTATACGTCGCAGCTTGCATGCCGAAATATGTTCAGAAGATCCAGATGCAGCATTGCGATGAGCTTGAAATTTTGGTTGCTCCAGAAGGCTTGTTCCCGGTTCTGAGTTTTTTGTGTCATCACCAACACGCTTGCTTCAATGTCTGTTCGGCAGCAACAGCGATAGATGTACCTAGCAGAGAGTATAGATTCGAGGTGGTATACATGTTGCTAAGCATGAGGTTCGGAGAGCGCGCGCGAGTCAAAACTTACACTGACGAGCTCACGCCGCTGCATTCAGCGTACTCCTTGTGGAAAGTTTGCAATATCTGGGAGAGAGAAATATATGATATGTTCGGCGTTATATACACGCACCACCCAGATTTGAGGCGGATTCTGACGGATTATGGGTTCACTGGTCACCCTTTGAGAAAGGACTTTCCCATGGTCGGGTACACAGAACTTCGGTATGATGATGAACTGAAGAAAATCGTGTACGAGCCGGTTGAGTTTGCCCAAGAATATCGACGTTTCCAGTTGGAATCGCCTTGGAATTATTTGAAGAATTTCCATGAAGGATACAACGATCCTCCGCCACCACCAACAAAGAAATAGTCATCTTTGCTTGCGCTGCAGGTGCTAATGTTTGGAATGTTCCAGATTATTGTATTTTTCTTTTTATAAATACAAAGATTTATTGAATGTATTTCATGTTTGAAACTATTGTCACACAACAGAAAAGATAGACAAAAGTATATTTTTAAAATATCATTGCATTTTTAGATATATTGTGAGCACATACCCTTACAAATAAGAAATCTGTTTTGAATACTACCCTCAAAACTTAAGCTACGTTTCCTTGGCTCTTCAAAAAATGTTCTCAATGGCGGCAAGTTGAATACGGCAACGACTATAACTTGAATTAAATCTTGTACGCTAATGAGCTTTTGTGTTGACACAATGGCGCGTCATTTAGTGAGTGCATAAAAGGGTGTGACTACACGGCCGAATGCGCTGCAAATGTAGATTTATGTCCTTAGGACAGTACAGGAACATTGTTTTCTCTTTAGGGATTTTAAGACTAGTGTACATTACGATACTATAACACTAGCGCTTACAACATGTGAGAATGTTTTTGTGACGTCAAATGTCAGTGTGAATTCTGGTGAGTTTCAGACTTGTGTGCTCTGACACGTTACAATGTTATTATATACTCAACATCAAATAAACGATTTTCTTCTGACACAATCATGGTGCCCCAACAATATTGGTGTTATTTGAAAGCCCAATAAATATCCTTAAAGAAAAACACATTTAATTTCTTAATAAATGATTAACATATACCATAAATGTGACTTGAAAATAGACCTCACTTTGGGCTCACCTCTGGGATCAATTAGACCAATTTTTATGGTTATAAAACCAAATAATGATGTCACGTGTCCTCTTTAACAGATGGATAGCGATTAATCCCAATTTAACAGTTTTATAGCCATAAAAGTTGGCTTTAGCGTAACTACAAATTTTTTGAAGAAGTGACTCTAAAGACACATTTTTGGGGTAAAAACCTTTCCTTTAACGAAATGAAGGTTAGAACTAGGCTTTTAAATGGTGCCAATATTGGTGGGAAGTGGGGATGCATACGTTTGAAAATGCTTGTCGCGGGAGGTGCGATTTATTTGATGTCGAGTGTATTATGTCACCCCCTCTCGTGCTCCTTCCATACCTCAAGCTCTGATTTAGATAATCACTAGACCTATAGTGCATAAGACACCTTGGTTTGTTTTGTAAAATAAATTATGAATGCTGCATAAGCTGTACATAAAGTCCGCCAGTAACTTGTCTTGTAGTTATTGAATCAGATTATAGGATGGAAACTATCAAGACAGTCTGAAAGAGAGCCAACTAAAATAAATAACATATTTCTTACAAAGATTCCAAGTCGGGCAACATTGCGAACACGATCATTTACGCACTAGACAATCTTCCCTGGAATACCACGCCAATGTGACCGCAGCTTTACGCATATACATATAAGATGGCCGCCTTCCCCCAGCGAGCAGATGACGGTCCTTTCTAACGCCTCAATTAATAACTTTCGAAATTAGCGCGAGTGGCTAATTATTCTATCTCCATTTCATTAAGTTAGTTGCTTGGCGAGCTTGGGTCAACGGGATTGGGACTCATTATACGAAAGTATCTCGGAGCTTTTTTGATTGACTCGTAACTCTTTTAATAAAAGTTTTTTTATCACATTTAAACCTTCGCTACGGAAATAAAAAGAGGTGAGTTAATGATGATTTTATAGACTTTCTGTTCGCGGAATCTCTTCCGGAGTTTGCCTTTATCCCTGATCAAAAACATGGTCGTAAATAAACTACTCTCACAGTAAATACTTTTATTTTATACCTAAACACCTGCAGCTAATTATATACATAAGTCAAAAATAAAGACGTATGTCTATAATTGTTTTAAAATTTTAGAATATTTTAACAAAAGTAGATTATTATCATTGTATCAACCCAGTGACTCTGGCGCAACTGCTTGAGTTGTTGCCTTGTCTTGCCTAGTATTAATAATTGAGCCACAAATAATAGAACTGTATTAGATATTAATTAATACATTCATTGCTTCCTCAACGTAGCAAACTTACACAAAATGTTCTTAAAACGAGAATTCATAAAAAATAGTGGCTTAGGCAACATGTAGGTCTGACAGAAAGATCGAGTTAGTTACTCTTTCTTACATAAAATAATCAGTATATTTATTTATTACCAGTCATTAGCAAAAAGGTCGCGGCTTCGTGTGCTACTTAGTTTCTCCAGGAACACCTTTTATGGGATTTCTCAGAAAATCCAGTAGAAAATGTTTTATTAATATTAAAGGGACTTACATGGAAATATAATTAGCTTTTATGTACTTTCACGTAACCCAAATAATAAAACAAACTCCTACTATTTATCGGTCTCTTTTTACCTTACTTTATTATTAGAATCATCAATTTAGAATGCAGCAAACTTACTTATGAACTATTATATTGAAAAAAAAAAACAAGATAATATTTCTAAAATATTTGTATAAGTACCTAAATAAAGTTACTGATTAAACAAAGAAACAAAAGAAAACACAAAGCAATACAATTCTAGTGGATAAATTAAGAAATTATCATTAAATGACAAAAAACGCACTGGTTTTTCTGGCGATTCTTGGAACATTTCGCTTTATCTAACAACATTTTTGTTTTACATTATTAACTCCGTGTCAAGTTGACAACAGAGCCAAGTCGCCACCCCTTTCATACTTCATATCTGCCTCCATCATATGGACATCTGCGTAAGAATAACTGCGGAGCGGAGGTCGGAATGAACAATCGGCTCAGTGTGTGCCTCTCGGTGCCACGATCCGCCCGCCCCAGCGCTCTCCCGCGGGACGCCCGCCCAAACTTCGCTCGCACTTACAAACTCTATACAGGGAAATAATGCCGCGCGAAAAATAACTTTCACCTCCACCAACTTTGATTAACCCTTGATTGACAATAAAGGTAAGCAATTTTCGTTTTTCCTGCCCCTTTTGCGGTACTAAAAATTTCTGAGCGCTTTCACGTGTAAAAAGTAAGCGTGCTCATTTCTTTTTGACGTAAACTTTTCTGGCCGGTTTTGTCGCTTGTTTTTCTTAGTTGTTTCGCTATTTTGTGTCCCTAAATAATTTAGTGATTTCTTAGAATTTATTTCGTTGTTGTAGAAAGGTATACAATTTTCAGTTGACTTTTTTTACATTGAATATTTTCTTCGTAGAAAATGCTGTTTTGTTTGTAATCTTAGTTTTACTAAAGTTTGTAGCTGTTTATAACTTAGTACTTTATGAGTTTTATAGCAACAAAAACGAAAACACATTTTGTTTCTTAGAGTAGACAGTTATTTTTAATATCAAGTTAACTAGGTATTTCAAAATATTCCGAACTTTTTATTTTAATGAAAATATTTTTGAATCAAATTTTGTGTCTTAATTATATTTTATTGTATTCCAAATCTAAAAACAATTTAATTTTCATTAAATCGAATCTAAAACAAGCACCAAATCCTTTTCAACATGCCGGCGTATTTATTATTCTCTTAACACCACCATTCGAGGTTCCTCGGCTGAATATTTAACCAAACAGCAAACATTTGCTCCGGTTAAAATTGACCGCCAGTTAACGCGTTAGTAGTCGCTAATTAACGTGCATCCGTTGCACTCGCTTGTTTAAAACGGTGATGGATAATAGATTTTACTGCCTAATTAATAACTGGAACTTAATTGCCTAGACAAGCTAAATATTTACAAAGTAAATACTTTTAGTTTGACTTTAACTTTACACATTTGTCACTATTACGTTAATATTATAATTTTAATATTTAAAAAAATGCAATAAACTAAAAATAAATCACAAGTTCAAAGTTTAGTAGGTAACACAGATTAAAATAAATGCAAAAAATACTTTTAGTATAAAAACCCCTTATCTATTAATAATAATCGAATATAAAGAACTTAAGTAGGTATAAGTTAGTAATTCAAAACCAGAACCTGATTAGATAATAATTTGAACATGTACCACATGTAACATTGGTATAAAACAATTTAGGCATTAGGTACTAAATAATATAATACACAATCCCCATAATTTCTTCGTTTAAATGTACTACCTAACCAAGTTCCCTAAACAACTTGAAATCCAAACATTTAGTTACCATCTCAGACGCAGTCAAATGTCACAACACAATATAGCAATAGTATTAGTAAACCAGGCAAGTTTTGTTTAGGTACGAACGAGTTACCGGCCGGTATGAAATTTCCGACAGCGTTTGCAAACTTAGTTCCCTTGGCCAACTTAGGGGATTCGTCTGCTGCAAGCGCCTGGGGTGCGCTATATTGTTATACATCCGTGTTGTTCGATTGTGTGTAATCCAAAAAATATAGGAAAGAAATATTGAATTTTTTTGTGGTTTTTAGCGTTTGCTTAATGTTGTTTTGATGGCTGGTAGAGCCAAAAAATAAAGAGATGAGATGCTTTTCAAAAGCAACAATTAAAACCAATTTCCAAAAATTTAATTTTAAAAATTATAGTTTTTATTGAACACAATGGCAGTTTTTATAGAACTTTGAACTAATCGCAAGAGATGAAGTATCATGCAATTTAGGTATGTAGAGATTGACTAACGAAACTTTTACATAATAATTGTCCTCGGAAACTACTCAAATATACCTATATTATGTTATTAAGTATACAAATATACCTATACGAGAAAATCTCCTGCTTTATACTAGGTACCTACCTAGTATAAAGCAGGAGATTTTCTCGTGTCTAAAAATGGATAATTGACAAAAACAAAAGATGTCGTCTCACTACTAAAGCTGAGTTGCACCAGCTTACTTTAACCGTAACTATAACAACAACCGCAGTTATTTGTATGGAGTTTAACAGATTTTTGTCGTTTGTTAAAGTTAAAGTAAGATGGTGCAACTCAACCTAAAAGTTGTATTAAACAAAAGACATTAGCTCATTGCTAATAACAATACCAAGTCTACTTAATGTAACTAGGTAAGTACTAGGACAAGGTATTCTATGTTTAAACTGTCTATAAATAGGCTCATCTGCTGCGATCGTTATCGTTTAGAGGCATATGGAACCAGACACTCGCAATCCGAGAACAAGGCTTTGTTAATACGATCAGAGTTGTTCCATATTTAGAGTTAAATTCATCATCTTTATTAGCCATAAGATATCAACAATTACAGTCTTCCCTTAGACTTCTAATAGTTTTTCATATTTTTTTAATTCTAGTTGTGTTGTTGCACATTAAGATGTGCAGAATAATGTGTAGTTCTCTTAGATTAATCACTTAATCATATTAATATAAGCCAGTATAATAGTTTTAAGTATGAATACTTGAATGAGCACGACGATTTATTTGTTACTTGAGTCAAGAGTGTTTTAAAGTACGTCCGTCCATCCATTCGAGTCAAAGCAGTACAAACTGGCTAAGTTGGTAAGATAGCGCCTTGGTTAGTTTGGTGTAGTTATTGTTGACTTATTTCCTTATATAAATCATTTGTAACTATCACGAATCTTAATTATGCCACCTCTTAAAAGCCGTCAGTTATAGTTTGGATCTGTAAGAACAAAAGCCTAATCTAACGTCCGTTTCTGTAGTTCGCACCGTTCAGGATAATTTTACATACATTCATACACGAGAACCAGTCTGTAACAAAGCTAAAGTAAATATTATTTATAGACATCCCTTGCTTTCTACGTAACTGTTTGTGTTCCAAAAATATATCCCAACTTTCCAATATCAATGTCGGGCAAAAGATATCTGCGTGGGCAACCGCTAACTCCAATATGTCGGTCGTATCGCAATGGCCGCGGCGATGTGCCTCGAATTTTTCTCAAGCATTATCGCACTTTTACGGAAAAGTAGTTACCGGTGCGCGATCGCATCCTCGCTCGTTTCGCTCGTTCACAAAGCGGCGGCTCCGATTTAGAAGGTCGCGCAGACAACCCAACATCAAATCATTATTGACTGATGAAATCGCAAAAATGATACGGAAGGGATGCGAATGTGCCCGTTCCCGTATCGCACACGCTCCTGTGCTCCTAATTACAATGAGTGCATGCCGGCACGTAATGTACGCAATATTGTTTTGGATGTCGTTGTTCATAATATTTGATATACTTAGGCTGAGTTGCACCACCTAACTATGACCGTAACTACTTATAACGATAACCGGTGCTTTTTGTATGGAGTTTGACAGATTTTTGACGTTTGTCAAAGTTAAAGTAAGATGGTGCAACTCAGCCTTAATTAGCTCATTATATAGTTGTTCTTATAATTTTAGTACTAAATTAGGTTTGTGGAAGTGTTACGCACTCTCCTAGTATAGTAATAGATTAATTTTATTGTTCGTAGTTTAGTAGGTACTAAGTTACTTAGTTGCGCATTCACATCCGAGCTCGTTTCGCAAAGGTTTCGATTTTAGAAGGCCGAGCAGACAACCCAACATCAAATCATTATTGACTGATGAAATCGCAAAAGTGATGCGAATGTGCGCCGTTCCCGTATCGCACATGCTCCTAATTACGATAAATGCATGTGACGGTACCTGTACGTAAATGTGCGCAATTTTGTTTTGGTTGTCGAGTTCATATGACACAATTATCTCAGAGTTATTCTTATATTTTGTTACTAAATTAGGTAGCGTTTGTAATAGAAGGAAATGTTACGGATGCTCGTATATTAGATGAATTGTTCGTAGTCTAGTGCTTAGATCCAAGGTAGGTACGTCTCACTAGTATAATTAATGCACCAGACTATACAATTTAGGTGTATGTAGTACTTATTGTAACCATGCCTCGGTTAAGCTTGGTGTGCTGTCGTCTTCTGACAGTCTATCACCAACAGTAAAGACCTATCTTATCACATTTACTACCTTTACGTTTTAGTATTAATTTCAGTATTTCAGTATTAATTTTCACCTAATTTGTTCCACGGGGAATACCATCTTACATCAAGGCAAGTCTAGCAAGCATTCGTGGCGAAGTAATAAAACGCGTAATTTATTACCTACCTATGTAGATCATTTTCATTTTATACGGTCGGAATAAGCAGTGTAAACCGTGAAATATGTTAATAATTTGCCTTTGTTGCAGTCTCATGGAGATCCCAAGCTTCGGGGCGGAGTAGAGGATCAGTTGCTAAAAATATGCAGCAGTCTTGTTGGGCGTTATGTTTACTGGCCGTTTTCATGCTAGGACCCAACTCGAAATTTGTTGGTATGACATTTTTTAACTCTTAAAATGTAGTTAGTGTAGGTATCACTGATGAGCCTATATGTCAGTTTTTTCTACTACTTCTTAGTTTTCATTTTTGTAGCCACCGAAATTACCGAACTTAGTGTCAGATTGTGCAATAGACGGCTGACATGTCTCTATTGTATGTGATCTTTCCTGAAAATGTAATTGATTTAAGATTCGTCATTTTAAACATGTTTTACGGATCTGTGTAATAAATAATGTTGATGCTCTCTTGTTACAAACATGTAGCTATAACACCTAAATGTAAGTAAAAGTTGCATACTACCTACTGTTTGATAGATATGATTTTTTCTTATACAGGTGAAGCGTTTCAACCGGAGTTTGCGGAACCAATCACAAACTTAACTGTGCCAGTCGGCCGAGATGCCACTTTTAAATGCCTAGTTCAAAATCTAGGCGGATACAGGGTAATGTATAATAAAATAAAACCAAATATAATAGGTCTGCATTATATTCTCAGATATTTTATTTTAATATTTTTTACAGGTTGGGTGGGTAAAAGCAGACACCAAAGCAATACAAGCGATACACATTCACGTAATAACAAACAACCACAGAGTGGGTGTGTCACACAACGGACTGACCGTCTGGAACCTTCACATACGAAACGTTCAAGAGGAGGACCGGGGTCAATACATGTGCCAGATAAACACAGACCCCATGAAGAGCCAGGTAACAATCCATTTAATTCGAAGTCATGGCACTCCACTCCGTCCCGTCACTTGACGAATCAGTAACTAGATTCTCTATTTGCTTCTGTCGGACCGCAGCTTTTTGCCTTCTAGAATACCCGTGTATCCGAACCTGTCTGTACAGGAATTCCCTAGTCATTATTTCGGGCACAAACATATTTCTACTTTTAAACAAAATCCTATCACTCGGCCCCCAATCTTCGCTCGGCGTAAAAACTTCCCGGATCATGCCATGGCGATAATAAATTACTAATTCAATTATAACACCAAATAAAATAACGCAGCCATATATCGCCACAAGGACGTAAACTATCAATATATCGTAATACACTGAAATGGGCTCGTCTAGGTAAATAGAATCTTCATACTCTGCAGCTTCCAAAGTTAAAAACTTAGCGTACAACAAAGAAAAAATCAACACGGGGTTAATTAACCACGTCAATTTCCAAAAGTAGCTGGCTTTTATACCTGTCATGAAAATGATATCAACGTTGTGATTGTGGAGCCCATATATCCAGTATAATGAGATAGATAGGAAAAAGCTGCTTAAGATTTGTATTATCTCTATTGCATCCGTAAAAGCGCCCGTAATATCAGAGCAGAATAGAGGCCAAGACATCACACACATTAATACTGTGATTATTATATTACACAGCCCTGTATGATGCTGTGCGAAACGAATATTTTCTTTGACAAGGTCTCTCAAAAAGAAATTCAGTAACCATGTATTAACAAACAGAGCTAGAAAAACAGATGAAAACCACAAAAATCCCCAGAGGGGTGTTTCGTCAAAATAACTCAACACCTCCGAAACCGATGCGAATTGTAAAAAATAGCTGCTAAAACCCATTTCTATCACGTTTTCCTCCTCACCGTGGTAATAAGACATGGTTTTTATGCCGCTAAATAAAATCAGCGCGTACATAATAGTGACGAAAACCGAAAATAAAGGTGCTGTGATGGAGGTCATTGTGGCGGGGCTGCGGAAGGGAGCATCCCGCGATAAGAAGCCAATTATCCCGAAACCAGTTCCCACTGAAAGAAAACCACGGGTAATGGATTTATAGCAGTCGAGGAAGTTGTACTTGTCCCAGTCTATTGTTATTAGCGTCGCGTACCACGCGCCGCTCGTAGACAGCGCTACACACAGCAACAGAAGCATCACAACCGAAACGTATACCGCCAGAAGCTTCACTGTTATTTGAATGAATTTTCTCTTTCCGCAGCGATAAAACGAAAATTATAGTACTTATTGAAACACTCGCTATAATTGACTTCCACGCAAGTGCACAGTACCACGAGTTCTTTGTGTTATTGTTCCCGATCTCGCGTTCGAAAAACCAGCTACTTGCAGTTTGCACGCCGCAGTCATCGTCAAACAGTATCTGAGCTTCAAGGCAGTGCTGGAAAATTGACACGTTGACTCTTTTCACCATACATTTTGTGGTATTGAAATCATCGCAGACAAACCAAGGCGGTGGGTCGAGTGCAGCGTAGAATGTATATTGCAGGTACCAAGACGTCACAGCTGTGATGTATACTGATTTCAGTAAAACTAAATAAATAGTCCCATAACCGACAGGTCGGAGAATCGGTAGAAAATTCCATATTGATATGACTCCGTTATTTGTGTATTGAGACAAACAAATTTCGGAATAGATGAGTGGTATTCCTATGAATATAACTGAAAGGATATGTAACATTGCGTATATGTAGAAGCCACTGTGAGATATATCCGTCGCTATTAACATGAGCCCCACTTCATTTACCATCCAGGCCCATATGATCATTCTGTAGTTGCCGTAAGACTTCCATCTGCAGCTTGTATCTGGGGTATATTTTATGTCCATCACACTCTTTTTTACCTCAAACATTTTTGTAGCACTATAAAATAACTATGAATTTAATGACGTTCCGTGACACAGTATCAAAGCCATCTAGATTATCGTACAATGCGGGAACTTTCTTTAATAAAACTCGGCGGGCGATCAAATTGTGAGTACTCGCTATCAACGAATGCAATTACGTTGAGCGTTTGTGAGATAAAGTGAATTAAAGTGCAGCTGGAAACGCAGCGGGTAATGATTCGTGCGTGGTGCTCCTAAATTATTGCGCTTCTGTGTAATTTATATGCGGGCCTGATAACGGCATAAATCGCGCGGCGACAGCGCAGACAGCGCGGCGTTGACGCAGACGTCGCGTCGACGCGGCATGACGCCCTGCCCTGCTGCATGCACTGTTTCAAAAATTGTTTTCGAGATCGGTCTGTTGTCCATAGTTAGTCGGTCAAGTCTCAAGATTAGGTAGACGTGATTAAATGGTTAGTTGATAAGTAACGTCATTTTTATATCGTACTAACTTTCCGCCCGCGGCTTCGCCCTCGTGAAAAAAGGGCTGTTTTACGGGTTTTCCGACTTGAACGAACATTCAAAATAAGGAATTGGTAAATCGGTCCAGGCGTTGTTGATGCGCTTACCAACACATTTTGCGATTTATTTTTATATATCTAATAGATTTCATTTTTTTTTTTCGAGATCTGCTTCTATTTTATTTTGTCTAGCCTAGTCCGCAACAACTAGGTACAACAAAATTCATAAAACATGAAATGAAATTTTTATTATTCCTAAATCTTGGACATATTATTGCCTTCTACAGAATACTATTTCACTAGTGACAGTTAGTAAGTACGAGTATGTTCTGTATTTATTTATCTATTAAAACAGTAATCCCAGATTTACTTTGACAAACTTTTATAGTCCATTTTCTTGCAAGGTCAACATTAAATGCCTCTTTTTCTTGCTAGATGGGCTTTCTGGATGTGGTGATACCTCCCGACTTCGTTCCTGAAGAAACGTCAGGAGATGTCATGGTTCCTGAAGGTGGAACTGCTAAGGTGGTCTGTCGGGCCCGGGGGATGCCGGAACCCAGGATCATGTGGAGGAGAGAAGATGGAGCGGATATTGTCATTAGGGACCCTCATGGAGGAAAAACAAAAGGTACACAAATTATATAATTGTTAGCCTAGGCGCAGAGTCGAGTTTAGTCGGCTGATAGTTGGGCCCGATTATAATTTGTATGAAGAATCAATCGGTGTAATGTGCGCAGCACTTCCATACATGCCCATACTGATAACTGCCCGACTAAACTATCGGCCAACAAAAAATTGGTGGTCCGGAACAAGAGTCAAGATACTTAACATTTGTTGTTGTTTCNATTTTCGAGATCGGCCTGTTGTCCATAGTTAGTCGGTCATGTCTCAAGATTAGGTAGACGTGATTAAATGGTTAGTTGATACCTGTTGATACTTATGTAACGTGATTTTTATATCGTACTAGCTTTCCGCCCGCGGCTTCGCCCGCGCCCGATTTCATTTTTTTCGAGACCTGCTTCTATTTTATTTTGTCTAGCCTAGCCCGCAACAACTACAACAAAATTCATAAAACATGAATGATATTATTCCTAAATCTTGGACATATTAAATCCTTCTAAAGATTACTATTTCACTAGTGACAGTTAGTAAGTACGAGTATGTTCTGTATTAAAACAGTAATCCCAGATTTACTTTGACAAACTTTTATAGTCCATTTTCTTGCAAGGTTCAACATTAAATGTCTCTTTTTCTTGCTAGATGGGCTTTCTGGATGTGGTGATACCTCCCGACTTCGTTCCTGAAGAAACGTCAGGAGATGTCATGGTTCCTGAAGGTGGAACTGCTAAAGTAGTCTGTCGGGCCCGGGGCATGCCAGAACCCAGGATCATGTGGAGGAGAGAAGATGGAGCGGATATTGTCATTAGGGACCCTCATGGAGGAAAAACAAAAGGTACGCAAATATAATTCTAAACTCCGCCCGAAACAAGAGTCAAAATATAGATCGTTTCATCTACGAAGAAGCGCCTCACCAATTTTTGGTCGAAGGAAGCGCGGGGTGCGGGACTGCTGGCGAGTCTGATCCGTCCGAGCAATCCGAGCGTCATTATTGTAGTGTCGATAATTAGCGTGTACCAATAACATTCAAACATTAGCGGAAGAATGGTGGGGCGCGTCTTCGTGGATGAAAAGATCTACTCAACATTTAGATTAGTAATCAAACTTATAAATATTTTAAATACCGCATTTTTGTAATCCACTGATCCGACAGAAGATTTTGTCGAACATGAAGATCCAGTTTGCACAGAAACGTTATCGCGTCCCTCGAGACAGTGTGTTTTCCTGGGTAGTAACATACTTGGACAGAAAAATAAAATATACAGTCTATGTATCTTGTCTCTAAACAAGTGATTTTTAAATGCCATAAAAACTACATTAATATTTAAAAGTGTGATTCTGTGAACTGACTATAAAAAACATTTTCATAGCTGTACAAAAGAACTTAATTTTTACTTCATTTAACTGCCCAAAAAATTAAAATATTTAATAAGCTCTACATTAAAATATTCTATACCATAGTTACTAAATATAAAGTTGTACTTCTGTAAAGCTGGCCTACTTATGTAACTACATTGTTAACTAAAGTAAAGTAAATACTTATCACCAACAAAAAAACTATTAGTCATTGATGCCTCCAATTCATTTTTACGCAGTTGGGTTTTTGATTTTTCAATAATTTTATAATAAAAACACAGAATCTTTATTAATATAAAATATTTCACTACCAGTTCAGATGTACGAGGAAGAAGTGTTGACTCTGACGAAGATATCGCGCTCCGACATGGGCGCCTATTTGTGCATCGCCAGCAACGGGGTCCCGCCGTCCGTTAGCAAGCGGATCCAGATCAAAGTACACTGTGAGTCTATGTACATAAGGTTTATGTTTCTATTTCAAATGTAGGTATAAATGTTTGGCCAAAGTAATGACCGTTTACCTAAACTGCTACTAAACGTACCCCACAAAGAAATTGATTTTTATTTTAAATCATTAATGTAACTTTTATAATCGAATATTTTATGGGAGAGATTTAGCGTAGGGAGAGATTTAGCAAAATCGTATTTAATTAGTTAAATATACTTACGTAATTACTTACTTTTGAAATACTGAACAGAGATTTCTATCAATTTTAATAATAATGCAGTAATTTATGCAGTAAAATTAATGACATACATTTTTGCAAACAAATCTAGTAGACCGATTTCGATTTGCGATGATTGCGTTGCGTTGAACATAGTAAATCAGAATCGCGATGAGTTCCATCAGTCCTAATAAGATGATTTGTTCCATTATTACACATATCTATCAAACACGAAACAACTGTTCTTTATTAATAACTTACCTAAGATTTATCACTTAACCATTGGCGCAAGTAACCTTAAGGAAACATTTTTGGACGAAATCTCCTTTTTTCTTAGCTCATTCAGAGACGAAATAGGTTCTGCGAGAAATTCTTGGTAATTGTTGTTTATCTCGGCAACTTTCGGGGGTGCTTGTTATTAATGGTGTTATTTAATTTCGGCAAGTAGTAGCTTTTAATTATTTTCAGCCTGTTAAGACTGTTTGTGTCTTCACGTCAACTCAAGCGGACATTGTGCTTTCAGGCTAGATTTAACTTTAATATTAGTGTTCTAATTTGTATTTAATGAGTGATGAAGAAGTTGCTTTTGTTTAGGAATGGTATTCACAAGAAATCCCTGTTATAATTTTAGTCGTTAGTTCTTAACTTGGATGTTTCCATCCATGTTTTTAATCAAATTATTTTGCGTTTTTTATTCTTGAGATTTGATCAAATTCTAAAGTTAGTACTTAGTAAGAAACAACAAAGCCTAATTTGACTTATTTTAGAGACAATATTTTATAATGAATTTTTTGACATCATGTACTTTTCACAGAGTAGAATACGACCATACTCTCACTCTTACAGTTTACAAAAGGTGACTAAAGGACAATCATAGTGCCTCATGATGATTGTCACTTGTCTGGCCATGTCATCCCGTCTGGCCAGGGTGTGGGTGGTTGTGTATAGGCTCAATCCACCATTTGCCTGTGCTAAATTACAGAGATTCATGGTCCTGCAGTGGCTACTAAATGACATGATGATGATGATGACGATATTTGTTTTAGTTCACCCCGTGATACAAGTGCCAAACCAACTGGTGGGTGCTCCTCTCGGGACTGACGTCACCCTGGAGTGCTATGTGGAATCATCACCGAAATCCATCAACTACTGGGTTAGAGACTCAAGTGAGTAATTTTGTAATACAATATTTAAAATCAATTTAGCCTAAAACTATACAACTATTGTAAACAATGAGACTTACATCTAAACTTTGAGTTGGATTATTAGAAAAGCTAAGAGTATTATTTTAAGTTTTGTTTTAAGATAAAAGATCATTTATTTTATTCACCGATACAAGGTAATACAATAAGGTAGATGTTACAATAGTTACACAGTTCAGCTTATCTCACCAGCAAGCTAGTGTGTGATTGTTTATAAAATATCGTCTTCATTGTACCAAGGTTGTGATTTTTTTTTATTTAGCACTTTATGCAGATGACTTCTTAACTGTTGGTAGAAACTAACTATTAACCTAGCAGACTACAGAATTTTAGTCAGCTGATAGTTGGGCCTCTATTCTAATCTGTATGAAGAATCGGCCGATGATATACCGGTGTAATGTGCGTGTGACATACTGATTACTCGCACGACTCAACTATCGGCCGACAAAAAGTCCTTGGCTGCTAGGCTTACTTTGTATCCAAAATTCGTGATACTGGCCACTTTTCAAAATTAAAAATAAGTTTTTCTTAACACAAAGAAGACTTTTTTTAAACTTATGTTAGCAAAAAAAGTACCTATTCAGCCTTTACTTGATATTTTGTCGACTTGCGCCAATGCTCCTATTCACATTACCGCCCCACATCGGCTCCTTAAGAACTTTCCCCGTACATATCTAAACAAGCCACTTCACAACGCCCCCTCGGGGAATCGAATGGCAATCTCGCTTTGGTTCTCAAAACGGTGCTAGCCTTGTCTTATTCATGAGACCGCAGAATTGGGGATTGGCTTTAAAGTCAATTTCCGCTAGTCTGTTTTTATTTTAGTAAAAAAAAAGAAAAACGTGATGATTCTTTACATCTAATTTGCTTCTTAGTTGAAGGCCGAATTTATTGTACACAAAACAAAACAAGATCTTGCATAAAAGAAATGGCACGGCAAGCGATCTCTTGTAGACAATCTAGGGAGACAGAAGACAGAAGACAGACGTGAAGGTAGTTGGAATTTAAACATATAAACAAACGTATAATCTATATATATAAAATAAAGTCGTGTTAGTTACTTCGCTTATAACTCAAGAACGGCTGAACCGATTTAGCTGAAAATTGTCAGGGAGGTAGTTTAGAGCCAGGAGAAGGACATAGGATACTTTTTATCCCGTTCGAAATTTAAAAAAAGTCTGCTTATTTATTGCCATTAAGGCGGAACAAAGTTCGCCGGGTCAGCTAGTCTATATATAAAAATGAATTGCTGTTCGTTAGTCTGATTAAAACTCGAGAACGGCTGGGCCGATTGAGCTGACTTTGGTTTTAAAATGTTTGTCGTAGTCCAGGGTAGGTCTAAACGGTGAGCAAATAAGGAAAAATTGCAATGGCTTATTTATTGCCTTTAAGGCGGAACAGAGTTCGCCGGGTCAGCTAGTGACACAATAAATATACTCCATTGAGCACATTTCCGCGCAGTATCTAAATACTTGTCACTTTTAAAAATTGTAGTGATAAAAATATCAGTGTCAGTCAACGGAAGTCCGCTCCTGGACAAAGGCTTCTTTCCCTAAACATTTAAAATATGTCTTAACTAAAAATATTTTCATTAACAACATGCAAAACTATCTTAAGCAGGCCATCACTAGTTTACATGGATCCAGTTACTGGAGTACAGTTAAAACAAACATTCCAACAAGTCTAATCAAGCTTTTGATTCGGCAAGTTTCCGCACCGACCGGACTGTACCAACTGGGTAACTGCGATTGCTAACTTGCCTACGTTAAAGGATTATACTAAACTATTTGATAATGCTGTAGTCTACGGTGTTGTTGTATGTTGCCGTCAAATAGTAAATTAATTAATTTATGTCTTTCATAAAACGTCTCGAAGGCTTAAATTTTTTATCACTGCTTTGTATGATGTGTGAAGCCAATTAAAGTCACACTGCATTGATTTTAATCTGTGTCATGGTGTTAAAATATTATTAAAATTAAATGATAAATACGACTCAGGGACAATTTATTATCAACTTAGATGATACTGTCAGCAATATGATGTATCTATCGTATTACCCTAAAAGGGGATGCCCTTATTTTCTGTAACACATATATACACAATCTTAAGATATACACGAAAAAAATTTATTTTTAAAAGAGTAACAAAAGAAAAGAATAAAAATCTTTTGTATTTGCCAAAAAAAGTCGAATGATGTGGAAACTTCATGGCAGTAATCTGAGTACATTAATGTTCTTTCCAAAGAGCGTACTCGTATTACACTCGTTACTCACAATAACTCGTAATTATTCATTTACGCAGTGATTGAATGACTATTATTGTTTATTGTATTGTGATTATGGAAAATACGTTGGTAATAATAATGCTATTAAGGTCAACAATGTAACGTATTACATATAATTTGACGTACTCATTGTGTTTTAGAAGTTATTAACTCTATTCTAGAATACCACTAGCTACTATAGAAGGTAATTTGAAAAGTATTCCTGCACAGCTTCTCTCTAAGTGCCTAGCCCACTGACACGGAAGTAAACGCCATTGTCTTCCCACAATAGTTCAATCCACAATTTGAATCAGACGCACTCGTAAATTAAAACTTAATATCTCATTACTTTCAAGCGTCACCCGCCCATTCGCATTTCGCCAAAAAAAACTCGAACAATTTGCAAAAGAAGGAAAGAGTCGAGGAAAATCCTATAATTATAATATTCACGTCGTTGGCTCCCTTCCCTTTGCTTTTAGCGCCTATTTAAAGCCTCAAACCTATATTATCGTAAAATAAAATTTCTATAATTACACTTTTTAGCCGGGGAAAAAGACTCGCATTTTTCATACAGAAATGTTTTTGCGATAATTAAGTAACACTCCTCCATAGAGACGAATTTGTATTGAGTTTATGTTTCGAGTGAATTAGCAACAAGTATTCAGTGTTGATTTTATAATTCTGCCATTCATTAAATCATTAAATTTTCCCTAAGGACTCTACTAGTTTAATCTTTAATACACAAAAGCAATGTAGCGAAAGATGCGTCAACAGCGAGCATGAAAAATATAACTGACGGACATTCTTCCCCCGGGACTCTAAACCAAACACGGCGCTTGGCGACATAACGACAGTCCTTACTCTGCCCGTGACGCGATAAAAAACTTTTATTCCCGTAAACACTCTGAAAATCCCTCCCAGAGAATGATTCAGTTCCTTATTTGTTACAACTTTATTACAATAAACAAAAAGCACTCTAACGAGGATTTATTATGTGACATTTTGAAAATACGCTACGTAAAAGTACTATTTTAATCAAGTTTTTGCTGTTTTTTGCTTTACACTTTAAAATATAGCCCTTTCCGAAGCTCGTGACGTAATTGACAATGTGGTAATTGGGTCTCTCCCACAGGACTACCGCAAATAAATATTAGCTAACGTAGAGTATACAGAATAATTTCACGAAATTACCCATCTAACATCATCCGATAGATCCTACGTTTTTCATTGTAACTACATAGTTTGGAATTTTGTTAGGATCAGTTTACTTATCAAAATTGATTTTATATTCCGACTCCGTCATTTTCCAACTTCTATCGAACAAAAAGTTAGTTTATAATTGCTAATGAGGTTTTTGTCAAATGAGTAAAAATTTGGGGTAACTTCTCTGAATTCTAAAAATAAATTGTGCCATGATTGAAAGGAAAACTTAAAGTTTAATCGCTTTAATTCTTCAAACATTCCTACTTGCGTTTTTCATTCATTTCTAACTAGGTCTCACCAACAAAATTTCTCATCTTGCGTTTCGGTTTTGAGAAAACATTCACATACAAAGCCAGGTGATCATTACACACCTAACGTGAACACAACGTTATTCAAGCACGAAATGTTCGTTTATTCAACTGATGAATCCATATTTTATTCATATTGCCACGTAAGAGATGAGAGCTCCCATCCTACCCGGTTTCATATAAAATTCTTTACAGATACGAGATATTCACATAAATCGTTTCCTAGCAATATGAAAATATGAAGCGCAAACCTAATTTGTGTGATCTTTTTGAATGCATAAATTCAGTTTTAATAAACGAGCGCATCACGAAGACTTGAGCTCGTATCTCTGCCGTATAAAACCGAATGTTCCAATAACATTGAAAAGTAGAAACATTACCGTTCGGGAATCATAATAAAAGTACACGTGTCTCAGTGAAAAATCCATTAGTGACACACGGCTAATATAAAGCTGAAAGTTGCGTAATAAAACATATTTGGTGGTATCTCACCCCGTAACATTGGATGTTATGTGTCAAGGAAATCTGGGTACGGAACGTACCAGCCGAATGTTCTTACGTATTCAGTGAGGACGAGCATTATACATCACAATTCACAAGTCGTTTCGTTTCAGAAATATGGAAAGGAGTCACTACATTTGGGGACTTTTGTAGTATAAAGACATTTGTAATTAGCTTCTAGCAGCAAATTAATATTTGATACATATGAGATTCAACAGACGACAACTNTGACAACTAGTGATATGAAATACATACATTACTAGTTTCAATAATAGTGTTTTTGCTAGCCAAATCCTCGAGTTATGACGTGATATTTTAACAGTACACTGCGCTTTTCATACTAAAAAGTAAGCCGTAATGAGCTGGATACGATACTAGGTGTTACTTCGCTCCGCAGCCGACGGCGGTTTCGCAAAGTTCTCTACTCGGCAGTTGTCGCGTGAAATTTACGGGTTAATTTTCAATGGGACCGAGTTTTGAGCTTCTGGAAAATTTAAGTTCCACATTATGCTTGGCGCTCATCCGAAATGGAGAATACGTGACGTCATAAAACATTGGGAGTAAAATATATGTATACATGTGCGGGTGACGTGGAGTTTTACGCTCGCCAAATTATGTTAGAGTATCAGGGCCTTATTACAAAAAAGTTTAACGTTAAACATTGATTTAAAATGTCATTTCCATAAAAAATGATAATTTGAACAGGTATTACACTACGGTACAGCAGGCGTTTAACTTTTTGTAATAAGCCTTTCAGTGTTTGGTAGTACCTACCTACTAATAGGTCTATGGCTAGAAAAGTCTATTAACATTAACATAAAATTCCACGTATACCTTCACTCATATAACAAAATTATAATAAAGTTCCAAATACACATGCTAAGATAGGTTGAATATTAAATTGTTTACATCATTCCTTGAAACCACGTTATTAGTTACCTTCTCCTTCGTACTTGCTTTTCTACGGAAGTAATATTGAAGTCAAAATCAAAATGCTAAATAAAAATTTAAAAATAATAATCTGTAAGCAGATTAGCAGCAACAAGATTAGCAGCTTAAAATACTTACCTGTAGGTATTTTAACTTATTTAGATTTCGTATAAAAAAACAACATTAAACAGAAAAAAATCTGAAAAGCGAGATGACTAGGCGTTGCTGTTGCCCAAAAATACAAAAAAAAAAAATTGTTTTGAATTTAACGCAAGATTTTCTAGGAAATACTTGCAGTGTTATTCTGAACCACAATAAAACAACACGGTCTCAAAAGCTAGAATGGTTGCACTAAATTCTCAACACAATATCAATAGTCGATGGCCCCGTTCCTGAAGCTATCAGTGTTTGCTTCACCATTTCACTGGCGACTTTACAGCCGCTGAAAACCTAAGGGAGGGGCCGTAACGGTCATAATAACTTCTACGGAATAGCCGATACTCCAGCCTTAGCTACAGTAACATTATCTCACTGCTTTATTATCTAGTTAGCCAATGAGAATAACCCTGAAAAGTAAAGGTTAAGTGCCGAGTGGAGATTTAGCTTTTTGATGATGAGAATCGGGAAGTTAGGTAAATAAAACGAGAGTTAGAAACGCTGCTGTTTGATTTGTGCTGATCAAATTCGAAACAATTAAGCTCAATATCACGATTCTTACAGAATTATATATGATAGTAGATTTTGAAATTATCACAACACACCAATATTTATAATCAAGTTTTTCTTGGAAACAGTCATAAGATTTCAAACATACGAGTAGATACATGTATACTCGTAGTAGACTGCTGTTTTAATTTTTTGATGTGAGAGTATTTTTGCCAGTGGAAAATGCATAAACATTTAGTGTCCGATGGACTTGGCTGAACGAGGGTTTAATGAACCCCAAAGTTGAAACATTTAATGCTGGCGTATAACATGGATGATCAAACAAGTTGCTTTGCCGGAATGAGGTAAAACTTGTACATAGAACTAAAATATAGTTATAACAAAATTATTCACAGTTACATACCTACTAATGAAAAATTCTCTCCGTGCGGTGGCACGATAAAAACGTGGGCCCGAGCCATTCTCGCCGAGCTGGCGCTAATTGTTAAAACGCATTAAGGGCCAACTTGCTCCACTCTGTGTTATGATCCGTGGTGCGTTTCCAGGCATTGTTCCCGCGAACTTGCCTCCCATGACTGGCATTTTCTCACAAGTACATAACGAAAACCAACCAAAAGGGCACAGCACTGGATCGTCATTTTCGTTTGTCATCAATCTATGTTAGACCCGCTGACATGTAAGTGTTAATTAAGCAGGCCTCACTCGAGCGTAATTAAGAGTGTTACAGTGTTATTTTAGACATTAATTGAGATGAAATTTCTTGTTATAATGAAGCGGCGGGCTCGGGTTGTCGGATAATTTCGTTTGAAGGTCATCTTTGGTGTCGCGAGCGGAGGTACACGGGGTAAACAAAGTTTCGATTGAGATTAAAAAAGCGTTATCGTTGTAACTTCCTTGGGTTTAAATTTAGGGTTTTTGCGATGAAAAATTTAATATCTTGCGGCTTGTTTTATTGCCTCCAATAACTCGGGCGGGCGGAGCCGGGAGACTATTTACACGGCAGTGCGGTGCAACAGTGTTTTCATAAGAAAGCCAGACGCTTTATCATTTGCGGACAACAGGCGCTGGGGGCTTAGGGGCTCGGAGCGAACGACATACTTAGTTACCAATAGAAGGATTGTTTGGGCCCCGCTGAAAAGGTGCAGGAAATGTCAGCGCTCTGAAGCTTCTTGAAAAATATCGTTCATTTTGCAACGCTTGCAAAGGACACGTTGATATTTTTACAGCAGTTAACATACTTACACGTTCAAACCCATAAATCACCGAGGAATACTAAAAGTATACATGTCTTATTAAATGCAACCCAATTAATTCAGCTACGCTTTCAACGGGTGTAGAGCCCCATCCAAACTTTAATTTGTATTTTAAATTAAAGTAGTCCGAAAGTGGTATGATGAAATCTACGAGTATGTCTCTTGGTAGGCTTTAATTTTACATTTATGGCAATTGGAATCATTTACCTTTTCCACTTATAACTAAAATCAACTTGTAATATTTATTTATTGCCTTGCTAATAAACTATTTCTTCACTAGATGAAATGGTGATATCGTCAAGCAAGTACGAGGTGGTGAACACAGTGATCAGTTCCTTTGAGAGCAGCATGGCGCTGACCGTCAGGAAGCTGACTGCAGCTGACGTGGGTGGCTACCGCTGCGTTGCCAAGAACTCCCTGGGTGAAGTGGATAGCATCATCAGGCTTTATGGTAAGTTATTGGTAAAAGATGCTTGGCGCTAACCAAAAGAAGGGTGACTGCAGACAAAGTTGGTGAGTACCGCTGCGTTGCCAAGAAGTTCCTGGGTAAAGTGGATAGCATCGTCAGCTTTATGGTAAGTTGTCGGTAAAAGTAGTTTGGTGTTCGCCATAAGGATGGTGACTGCAGCTAACGTGGGTGGGTACCGCTGTATTGCTAAGAACTCCCTGTGTGAAATGGATAGATTCATCATACGGTGAGTTCTTGGAGAAAGCAGCATAGCGCTGACCGTAATAAGTCTGGCTACATCTGATTTGGGTGGATACCGCTACGTTGCCAAGAACTCCCTTACTAAAGTAGATAGCATCATCAGGCTGTAAGGTATGTAGTGTTCTTTTCAAGAACTCAACTTGAATTTATTGCTTAATGTGTCATAGATGTGCTTACGGAGAATCCATCCAACAAAAAAAGTACTAAAGCAAAAATCAGCCGTCTTATTAAAATTCAAGGCTTCAAAGTAAAGTCTATCTACCTACATCCCTGTATTACCGAGCACCAGACAAAGGACTGATGGAAGTCTTCCTTGAATCTTATCGGAGAAATAAAATTACAATATTGCTTTAATATTATTAAAACATATAAACACAAATTTCCTGGAACGATTACGTTGCCATGTCACCTAATTCTGTTAAGTTACAATAGACCTCTATTTTATTTCATATGAAGTGACAAACTTCGCAGTACCTATTGAGATAGCGAAATTATTCAAGATAAGTGGTTCCTTTGACGGAACTCATCTAATTCCTGTATAAGAACATAAAGGAATTTGAAAAGTGGTGATGCGAGATGTATTTTTTAAAGAATATTTACTAATTCGCAAATAAAAATTACAAAACTATGAATATATAGAAAGAGGTTTCTATGTTCTATGGTTAAGCTTGTGTTACCAGTGGGTTCACCACTACAATAGTCAAGCGGCGAAAAAAACTATAAAATTTTAATGATCATATCAGAATGGAGCCTCAAACCTATAAAAATGATCAATTTATTATTTAAATGAGATAGAATTTGTCTAAACTCTACCTTATTTAATCGCTGATAGTAATGAAAGTCAGCCGTCCTTTGTAACTTTTGATAGGATTACACCCAGCACATTAATTACCACCTTGCAATGATGCTATCTGATAGTTATTGTTCATTGTCGGTTCAGTAAGCCCAATGCTAATCTGCCAGTGTAAATTAATGGAGAGATTACGTTAAGGCTGGAGCCGATTCCAGGAGAATCGAATAGGTCTATTAATGCCCTAATGGCTTCGATAAGATTGGTGCTAATTGAAACTGTGGCGTTACAGTACTCTTAAACGTTTTGAAGATGTATTTACCTTAAATAATAAACATTTAAGGAACGCATTATTATATTTTGATAAGATGGACCTAGCAAAATCAACATAACCCACTAAGAAATTGCTATTTTCAAGCCGTTTGCTATCAAAACTGTCATTCATTTTAGACTTGTGATACGTAAAATAAGAGACATTCGAAAATACACAGTTATTATACTATAGGAAACATAACGAAAAATACGTACAATTGAATCAAGGCAATAATATCTGTGCTAATAGAAACTGGCAATGTTTTCAATTAATAAAGTCGAATCATGAAATGTAATACATACCTAGATATTCGAATAAACCTATCTTTGATTTCAAAATGAAGAAATGTTATGAATTCTGAGGCAGTTCAATCTCTGTTTGAGTTGATTTTAACAGCTGTAGGCTACAATTAATTACAAAATAGCCAGTTTAAACTGGCACGGACTATAAATGCATACGAATCTTGGTTCCAGCTTTACTTAGGGCATTGGTATATTGAGATAGCCAACAGCAATCTACCTAGCTTGACCATTCGTTTGTGTGCTAGAAAGACAAACACAAGCCTGTGGTTTGATATTGCACTCGCGTTGATGAGGTCTAGGTTTTGTAGGCGAGTTTTTTGAGGTAGGATACAAGGCATACAAAAAATAGCAACCCTTTAAGCAATTGAGTTATAACACGTTTAGACTTAATATCTCATTGTTTCTTACTTTATTACTTTAACTTTCATCAAAAATTAGGTAGTTCTTTGCTAGCCTAATAACTACTGAAAAGAGAACTATTAATACTACGCCACGAGTCTATACTATCAGTTCTTTAATGTTAAAATGTTTTACAGAAATTCCTGGCCCGACCGTAAGGAATACAAGCCCTGCAAGCAAGAAGGAAGATTACAAATACTCCACACCCATCGAGGGTCCTGACAACCAGTTTGGATCTGCCGACAGGTCTGATGATGAAGACGAACTAGTTGTAGACGACGTGTCATCAAAAACCCCGCACCTATCGAATGAATATATTACAAAAAACAAAACACACAATTATCTGGCTACGAATATGGTCAACGAACAGAAACTTAGCAATAAGATACGAAAAATATTCGACATAAACGAATTCGAAGGGGTTAACTCTTGTACAAAATTTTCTTCCTCACTATCCTTCAACAGTTTATTGGTAGCATTCACAATTGTACGTGCAGGTTTAACGTAGATTATAATATTTAGTGTACAAAATCGATTCAACCCATATCGAAATCTTTAACGTAAGTCCCACCGATTGCAGAAACCACGGAGGTAACAATCTATGGTATTGCTATTAAAATAAAGGATAACTATAAAGTTATCCTTATGGTTATAAAACCATAGGTAGATAGGTAAATACACAATTTGGCTTACACTAAATGCGTAATAACTGAATATTTTCAAGTACCTAACCTGTAAATTGATATTGATGAAAGAGTTCCGACACGGCTCTTCGCAAATTAATACCAAAATAGATTGCTATCGTAGCCATTAAGTATATTATTTCCAATATTAGAACACAATTTAAAAGGTAGCTGCTGTTAAATTTTAGATAAACTGTACATTATTATTGTTAACCCAAATAAATATAAAATATTTTTTCATTATAAATAACTAGGAGTAAAATAAAATCATAAAGGCATGTGTAATAGTTGTAAATTATTGTTGAATGCTATAATATAAGTATAAGTATGCTATATGAAATATAATTATATTATAATATAAATTGTGATATAGATAGTATAAAACTTATTGATTGACTGAAATATGGCAATAATAATCTGGTCGCATTTCACACCATACATAATGGTTTTTATAATTTTTCAACCATACTTTTTATCACTGATTTAACAATTTTCTAGAAAAATATGTTTTCTACCGATACTTTTTCAATGATATTATGACAAGCTGTTGTTATAGGTACTTGCTACCGATTTATTGAGAAGTAGAAAGTAATTTAGTACAACATAAAACGTTACGCTTTATTAATTTAAATTAAAATGAAGGAGGAAAATGTACAGAACAAATAAAGTGTAATAAAAATATTGGATAAATCAAGTACTTCTTCTTTGTTTTAAAAAATCATTAACGCAACTTAATTAATTTGAAGTAGGCAACCGTATTAAAGCCGTAAATTGCTTATATTTTCCTATTGGAAAACATTTTATGTTTTAATTGTTATAATTTAACTGAGTAAGTTTAACAATAGATGTTTTAAATTGGATTTATTTGACGAAACTATGAAATGAAACTAAAGTTGATTGACTAATTTGGTTTATAATATTATTTTTAATTTCATTTTCATAATATTATTATCATCAGTTACACGACACATACATAACCCATACTTATAAAACATACAGCACAATTATTGATTTTTTTTTATTGTTTTTATGTTCTAATAATAGTTTTAATAGTTTTAAGTACCCAAAATATTGTAAAGTTATCTCCTGGCCTCCACGAGACAGGCTTGCCTAGTGTGGAGTCCATGATTAATATGAAAAATGTAATTGTTTTTCTTGCAATAAACGATTTTATTATTATTATTTATTATTATTAATTTCAAATTGTTTTATGTCAACTTAACTTAAATTAAATCAGCTATCGAATTTTCATCTTATTGGTTCAATAAGTTCATAATTACCTTAAGCATTTTTAGTTTAAGTAACGTTAGAAAAAGAATATTTCCAGTAATAGCTCTAAAATCAACGTAAAATAAAATATGATGACAAAAAGATAAAATATAATGTAAATAATGTATTTGATATTCATGATTTACTGAGAGACATTCCCTTTTCTGTATTATGTATAATATCTCCTGATAAAATATCCTGATTATAAAATTATAATAAATACTTACAACAGTTTTATTTTTTTAATTTCCTTTATTTAGAACTGTGTAATAGGGTTCGTTAATTAATTAATAAAATAACATACAATTAGATCTACAAGTAGATATTTAACAATTTCAAATGCAATACATTTCCAGTCAATCCAGTTAAAGTACCTTGGTAAACTCTTAAATAAATGTTATTCTTTTTATAAATGAATAAAGAAATCTCAGGATAAGTCAAATCTATGTTATTGTCTATCACATTTTTTTCAGGAACGCAGGAGCTGTAAAAAATTTAAGGAGCTGTGTATTGACGTGATTGTAAATGATATTTTTTATTACTACGTTATATTAAACATTCACCAGTTAATGAAATCCTACAAAGTTCATGTTTCTTTTATAAGATTTGGCAAGAAACAAGATTGCTCAGCGCAAGAGAAAAAAAGCGAAAATCGATAAAAAGCTAAGTACCTATTTCGTATGTTTTCAGTACAGTAACTTTGTTTGGCATACAGATTAAAACGGCGTAGGTTGAGAAGGCAGCCAATGAAGTTCGCGGCTGTTGCGGTTTCTTCTAAGTCACAAGTTCTCAACTAGTTAGTGTCTTATCCCACTTTTAAGTACCAACGAACAGTAAAGGACAACTAGAGTTTTCTGAGACCATAATATGAAAAGTATTTAAGTATAACAGCTCGATTTTTTACCCGTTGATTGGCACATTGGCATTAATTAAGTGATCAATAACGTTGTAAATAATTTATTTAATCATAATTTTACAAAATGTACATTGTTCTTGCTGATACGAAAGATTATTATTTTTCTGCTTAGTCAGTCGCAAGTATTTAAATTCTAGCTTCGTTATAATTTATATTGCATATTTTAAATAATAGCTTGTAAACCATACCAATGAGTGATGATGATGCATAGTTGTGGCCTTGGACAAATTTTGATGTCTATCTGTAACATTTTTACTTATTTTGCGTGCTAATTCAAATTCTAATAGTTTATTCAGTACATAAGCCCTTCCAAGGCACTTATACACATCCCAAATATGGGCTGGTGCTGAGAAGAAATTAAACTAGACTAGTTAACTTAAACTAAAGTACGTATGTTTTATCATCGATAGCGCTTTATTTAAACTTTATTTTACTATATTACCAGCCCAACAAGTCTTACTTATTACTGTAATCAATAAGGGGTAGTAACTTCTAAAGTTTGGGAACCGCTACCCAAGTTTATCAGATCACCGACCGTCTTCATTATACCAACAAGCGCGATGTTCACACCCCGGCCTACGTTCGCGGCTTGTTTCGTTCTATGTATGTAAATGAGCCGCCTCGAGTTGCTAACAAATACACGACTTTCGGGCCACATTGGATTGGGAGCGAGTTTTGCTTTACTTTTGAGTCTTAAGAGTTTAATATTAAGTCGTTTTAAATACATAGCAGAAAAATTAAAGGTTATTTATATGCATGATAGGACAAACTGAAATATGTTATTAGTAGTTACCAATTTTTTTATTAGAAAAAAGACCGTGGACTTTAAAAGCGTTTAAAACGCGTATAGGAACAAAATACGTGTTTAAAATTTTAGAGTGTTAGTAGTGTGGTAAACACCTATGACTAAGTTTTCTGAGCATAGGAGGCAAGTGTTATGAGAAGTTTGCATAGTGTACCTACTGTTGCAGAACTTTGAAAATCGCTTAGGTACCTACATAATTATAGCTTTATTACGGTCGGTAGGTAAGTAGCGCAAACAAATAGTTAATTAGTAATTATATTATTATTCACCAGACTAGGTTGGATGGACAGTTCCAAGAAATAATTACGAACCGAAAATGTATTTTCACATTTCATACAAATCGATTTGAGAAGAACTAGCTTTTACCTGTGGCTTCGAGAATTGACTTGAAGCTGTATATTTTCCATTAAAAGATACAATTTTCTGAAGCAAATAAATAATTCCAAGAATGAACTCTTTTAACAGAAATTTTCATAAATTCTGGCATCAAACTGGCTAAAATTGTCATGATGATATCACATTTTTTTAAGTGTTTTGAAGTGAGAAAGAAAACCAAGATGGTTAGGTAAATCAATCAGTATTTTCATTTTTAGTTCAAATAAGTAACTGTTGTTAAAAAAATAAGGGTTGATATTACACTTTTACTATAATATGTAGTTAACTGAATAACAGTCCTTCAAGAACCTTTTAAAAATGAACCACGACCTACGCAAGTAAGTAACGCTGTAGATCGTTGTTAATTAAAATAATTACATAAGTATATGTAATATCATGGCGTCATCATTATTAACTTTGATAACAACAATAATATGATTACGATCAACGCAACGCTCCAAGCAGGTTTCAGTACGGTTAATTGAAACTCATCTGAATTCCCGGCTGTAAATTTTTCGTTCGCCGGTTTTTTACAGAACTTTTCGACAGAGCCAGTTTTCTGTTTATTTATGAGCTTTTGGTACGGCCAACGGACGGCTTGACCAACAATATTTTCACATTAAAGGCTCTTTTTACGCAATGCCGATTTAGACACATAAATACACAGTGGGTAACCATTGTTTTGAAAACCTTTTTGGGGCTGTAACGCCTGATATTACTCGTAAAGCAATGGCGTTTATAATAATAGAGATATCTGAAATTAGGCCTCATAAAAATATTTTACAAAAGGCATTAAAAAACCCAACCCAATCAACAATTTGACGGCGATCTTCTAACGTTTATTCGTACACATAATTACGTGCGTTGTAAAAGACAAAACACTAAAGAAATACGCAGAGCCAATAGGCGACAGCGTATTAAAGGAAACAATACACGACACGGGGGCGGGTAACGAGAAAATAATCAATCTCCCGAGTCCATATGGAAGCAATCAGCGGTCGGTTATTGCGTCCGTCCGATCCGATAGTAGAGTCGATATATCAAAGACGGCTCAATTACTAGCTATCTCCAAGACGCAGTTGAAATGAAAACTGTCGGTGCAGCCTGCGACTTGTAGGCATACGTCGGGGTCTTATCAAATGATAGTGACATAAGGCAGCTTTCCAGCAAAGATATGTGTGGAATGGAGTGCTGCGATATTTTGGAACGATATGACATTTTACGCCTAAACTAATAGAGATGTCTGAATGATGAGAGGAACCAGGGAGTTCTTTTCAGCTTCAGTTTGTCACACTCGTATCCAAGCTCCTCACTTGGTTCACTTGTAATTTTCCGTCTTCTTTGTGACTCTAGCAAAATGGATGGTAGATTTTTTCAGCGAAGCTTTTGGTGGAAAATCTTCCTTACCTTATAATATTTTATTTCAAAGTCAATTATTTTTCACACAGCAAATTTTTTTCTTGTTATTTACATCTTTTGATATTGAATAAGAATTTGATAAGAATTTTGATAAGAATTTGATAANTTTTG